AGCAGGAGCAGGAGCAGGAGCAGGAGCAGGAGCAGGAGCAGGAGCAGGAGCAGGAGCAGGAGCAGGAGCAGTAGGAGTAGTAGTAGTAGTAGTAGTAGTAGTAGTAGCAGCAGCAGCAGGAGCACCAGTAGTAATAGTGGTACTAGTAGTACGACTAATACTGGTAGTAGTGCTAGCTACAAGTAGCACTAGTAGTACTAGTAGCACTCGTAGTACTAGTACTACTAGACTAGTAGTACTTGTAGTACTAGCAGTGCTAGAAGTGCTGGTAGTCCTGATACTTTTCTTCGTAATCTAACGTAGTACTAAATTAGTACTACGTTCTATTACGAATAGTGGTCGTCGTTGTCGTCTGCGTGGTCGTGGTGGTGGTGGTGGTGGTGGTGGTGGTGGTGGTCCGGGAGCAGCAGCAGCAAATGCAGAACGCAGCTGCAGCTGCAGTTGCTCTTGCGGTTGTAGTTGCAGTGGTCGTCGTCGCAGTAGTAGTACTAGCAGTCATCATGATCATCATCATATCCATCAACAGGACGAGTGGTCGGGATAGCTGTGCGCTTGAACAGCGAGTACCGGCACTGGATAGTGGGAGGAATCAGGGAACTTTTGGGCCGCCCGACAATTCGGCGAGTTTCAGCAGGAACATCACATGAGACGGTGTAAGTTGCTGGCCAGGAAGACAATTGACGGCAAATAACACCTCGGCAATTTCAATGGTTGAGTGCTGCTGCGTGCACTCTCTTGCCCTGTGCGACGTATCCTTCTGCTGGCCGAGGCGAGCGCAGCAACATGGGCCCAAGGAGAACCGAAGCGAGGCCAAGCAAGGGCGCCTGGTCACAAATCCGAGGGCTCACGAGAAACCGCGCGTGGCTGGCGTTACTAGAGCATGCACGATACACACATGTACACATGTATACCCATATACGCATGTCATTCTAGATCTGCCACGCCTGACGTTGCGTCTTATTCTAAACCCTGAACCTCCTCTGACAGTTTTGGCAAAACGAAAATGTAGTCCATAGCCAGATGCAGAGAACACAACGTTGTATGGAGCAGTGCAAGCCTATGATAAGTGAGGCAAACGTAAACTTACGTATATTTATCTCTGTGCACGCATGCGCACATGCACTTGTATACATCATGCACATGTACTCTGCGCATGTCATTGCACATGCAAGCACACACACTCACAATGCCGGAACATCTGTGCATGTTCCGTGTATTTACTCGTACCGGTATATCTGTATGCCCTGTATGCATATACCTGTTCGCATGGATTTGTGATGATTTTATGGATGCACAAGTACACAGGACACAGGTAGAGGGTAGATTGCGCTTCTGGTTTTCGTTTACGGCTTGTTAATGCTATCGCCAGCCAAAAAGATCCGCGGGTTATGCTTGTTTCAGGCTACATTGTCCAAGCTTGCCAGGATTCTTCCGTTGTCTTTGGCTACACCTTTCGCGACCGCGGACTTGCACTTTTCCGATCTTTTCCGACACGAAGTGGACTCACTGCTATCGCGGAAGGAGGTATCTAGGGCATGTTGGAAGTGGCGGATTACTTTCTTGATTCGTCGCGCTTCCCCGAAATGTCTGGGGCCCGACACTTATAGGAGTGGATTGACAGCATCATAGTCCTCATCTACATCGTTTGCACATTGTAACCACCATAAAGATCTGGTCATACTGTAATTCTCATCTTCATCATACAAGTCACAATGATCCCCGCAATCATCATCTTCTTGTCGTCATCTTCTTCATCATCATAACCAGCATCACAACCTAGCTTCATCATCACCACCGTCATCATGGCCGTGATCATCATTACAATCGTCTTCTTCACTCTCACCTGCACAATCACCGTAAACATCACCATAAACTTCTCCCCCCTCCAACTACGATGAACATCACTGTAATGATTGTCGTTTACGCTCTACTAGTCACCATCATCACCATCATCGTCATCATCAGCTTTTTCATTCTCGTCATCATCACCATAACCGTCCCCATTGCCTCTCATCATGATCATGATCATGACCATCATCATCATCACCACCATCATCATCATCATCTGCATCTTCATCAGCATCACCCTCATCGTGATCATCATGAATTCACCATAATCTTCTTCTCCATGCCAACCAGTCTAGCAACCGCCATAGTAATGAGCATAGTTTTCATCTTGTTCAACATCTCCATAATCATCACCCAGATCACCAACCTGATATTCATGCTCATCATCACAAAAAATACAATCATCATCAGGAGCATCACTCTAAACATCATGATGTTCATCATCATGGTCATCATCACATTCATCACCGTCATCAGAGTATTGTCGCTGTCACGATGACTTGACGACGATGTTATGTGGCTTGAATAGGGCACACTTCAGTCAAACAGATGAAATCGCATAGTTTCATGGAAGCTTTGCGAGGTGGATGTTGAACTTGTGTGATTGCATTGGACGCTGGTGACGACAGTGACGACAAAACCACGTGGAGGAACGCGCCGCGATGAATCCCTACCACGCGTGCTCTCGGCCTGGGTATCATGCAGATCCTGGAGTAGGGGACTGCCGTTTCCTTCTTCTCAGCTTCTTGAATTCTCCAAGAATGCCCCGGAAGTGCATGCCGATGACCAAAGAGAGCCGCTGGACCAGGAGTGCTTCTACACCGGTGGTCCGACGAGCACACTTCAGAGACCGGCAGGAAAGCTAAGAAGAGATAGAACCGTGTCAATCTATGCGCAGATGTGCTGTGCAGTCATAGACAAGGTAGCGCCACTCTTGTTGACCCACGCTTTGTCGCGGTCTATGTCAAAAACGGATTTGATTTTCCACGGGCTTTGGCTTGTTCCGCCGAGTTCATTGATAGATCATTCATACTAGTCTGAATTCAACACAAGGGGGTTGACACGCGGACGTTGCAAAGCTTTCCCACCTCTGCTTGGTCGTCTCGCGGCAGTCTCGCCAGAAGCACCTGAAATGCAGAAACCCCTGAACCCTAGCATAATGTAAGATAATATAACATGATATGATACAATATCTCATAGTATAGTGTAAGATTACATAACATAATGTGACGTGAGATGATATGTCATGTTATAATACAACGTCAACAGTGTATGATTCCTAAACCCCAGAGCTGGCCGGACCGAGGCAGTCGCCATGGAAGAGCCGATCAGGAGCACCAAGCAGCCTGGACGCTTCGGGCCGGCTGGTTTGGGGTTTAGGGTTTTAGGGTTTAGGGTCTAGGGAGCTTTCAGCCGGTTTCGGTTAAGGCTTCGGTAAAAATTAAGATATGCACGACTGATTGAAAAACCTTCAGACTCGGAGACATGTTGAACCGACATGCACTGGAGAATTCTCAGTGCATCTAGCTGATCTAGCTATTGCAGGGCTTAGGGAAAGTTTAGGGTTTAAAGGATTTTTGTGCACCGCTGCCTCCCGGATTCAGCGACCCGAAGGCCACCAGCACCAGCCAGCAGAGTGCCGGAGATACACCGAGGCTCTTGGCGCCTTCGGCTGAGTCCGACTTCCGAACCCTATCGGAGAGACAGCTGAAGCCAAAACAAACAAAAAAAACAGTCCTGACAACGACAAAAACTTCAAATCCCAACAGAGAAACAACACTATGTACAACGACAAACAGCCTGCAGACCCTAACCAGCAACAACTTCCCTTGCAATGTTGACAGCACAGTTGTTGCATGCACATTTTTGGCGAAAGGGACGGGTCACCCGGCAAGCAATCTTCGATGCCTCCGGGAACTGTGGGTCAGAAGCTTTTCTCCTTTCGTTAACCAATTTTGGACATGCGCACGACCCTGCACTGGCACCACATGTCTGTGTTGCAGATCTTTGTCATTTGTTGTTGCTTGAACTGGCTCCTCCCTCGAAGAAGCGGCCTTGTCCACGCTAACTAGTAAATAATAGACTGATTTTTGACACCCCGTTTTGGCATCCTCAACTTCTGGAAGCATCCCTCGCTACAGCTTCGATTGGCTCGCTCGAGACCCATTTCATCGAGAACTGCCGAGCCCCACGCCCGCAAAGTCTTCCCCTCTCTTGTGGCCTTGGCGGGCCAGTTGAAAGGTGACTGCAGGAGCAGATCTTCACTCGAGAGGCCCTCCGGACATGCATTTTCCACGCTGGAATCGTCTGCCCCTGGAACGACAATGCACCGCGTCTTGCGCCGCAATGCTTTAGGGGCTTTTGGCTTTGGAGGTCTGGCAGAAGCTGCCTGGTGCCGGCCTGTCG